TGTTTACACCGCTTATCCTATTGTGCGCCTAGAAGACACAGTATACCAGTTTGTATTCCTTCAAAGCCAGGCCCCCCTAGGCATACCCGGCAATGAATACCATATTCGGGACTTCCCAAGTAGACTTTCATCATCTGATAATTATCCCCATATGCGCCGATTTGTTGGACATATCATGGGTTTGCACTGCATTTAACCAGCTAGCATTCCTTGTACTTCCCTGGTATACAGGGTTGCACAATGCCCCAAATCTTCCAAGTCCCGGTATTGCCAATCCTTGGTACACCAATGGGTCACAGGCATTTTTCCCCAATATGGACGATAGTTACTGTAATACAGGATTAAATTCAAAAATCATCGTTTGTAGGATTCGAACTCTCAACCTGCTACTTGGCGGGGTAACAACTAGACCACTTCACTAAGTCACCACACCCTTTGATCAAAATATTAAACTTGAACGTTTTATAAATGATGCTGTTACTAGTGCTGATAAAAGAAGATTATTACAAGAATTTATTAAAGAATTTCAAGATCCATATATTGAATTAAATCACAACATAATGCTTCTGACTAAAATTATAGAATCAATTACTGAATTATTAAATAATACTTTAGAATCTATTCAAGATAAAGATCTTTTTCAAAATAATTTAGAACTGATTTTTAATAATTTTAAAGAAAAAAATAAAAAAGCAATTAAAGAAATTACATTTGAAAAATCAAAAGAATTTTTAAAAGAAAAAGATGAAAAAAGAGGTTTTTGGACAAATGAGAGATAAAATATTTATTATTCATTTATAATTATTCTTTTTTTAACATATTCTTTTATGTTTACAAGATTTTGATATTTATTATTTTCTATATATGTGATATTTAAAGAATTACAAATGTATTTTATAATTTCTTTTGATTTGTATTATCTATATTGTTATTTGGTAATAAAGCATTGTATATTTTTAATAAATTATTATCTGAATCTATGCTTAACATCGTGCATATTTCTGTTACCAAAGTATCGATCTTTTTTTGTTCCTCGATCGATTTCTTGAACGAATCGAATTTCTGTCTTAGTGATTTCACTTCTTTTTCGTACAAATTTTTAATTAAACTAACCTCTTCTTTTAATAATTTTATTTCTTGTTTAACAAGTTCAATAAGATCATGTTTCGAACCTTCTTTATAAAAGCGTAATACGTATTCGTAATAATTTGCATTTCATTTATATAATCTAACTTTGAATAAGAAACTTTGTTTACATTTTCAATAACATCTAAAGTTATTTCTTTACCTTTCATCACCCCATTATAATTTTCTTTTATCAATACTTTTACTCCATTTTGTTTCCATTTCACCGAACTTCTTCACTTCCAAAATAATATGCAATACACATTAATTGAAATTTCTTTCCATCATTAATATATTTACTATGTAAAATTCTATTAATTTGATATGGGTAAAATAATTGATTTAATCTTGTTATAGGAT